CAAGACTTCTCAAAGATGACAGAAAGCGGTTCAGCAATCACCTCTGCCAGCTCCTTCAGCACCCGTGGATGAATCCCATCGGGTCCCATGGATTTCTGAACATTGATGTTGCCTAGGCACTCTCAGACCACCTCTTCCCTGACAGAAGGGAGGTCCTCCATTCCCCAGACCCTCTCACTAACCTCCAGGGTCTCAGATTCCCGAGGGGGAGCTTTTTCACTGAAGACAGAAGCAAAGGTGGCATTCAGTATCTCCGCCTTCTCAGCATCCCCCGCTACCAGAACACCCCCGTCACTTAGCAGGGGAGCCACATTCTCCCTAGTCTTCCTTTTACTGTTAATGTACTTGAAAAAACCTTTTTTATTATCCTTTATCCCCTTTGCCAGATTTAATTCCAGGCGGGCTTTAGCCTTCCTTGTCGCATCCCTGCAGGCCCTGACAACATTCCTGTATTCTTCCCAAGTAGTCAGACCCTTTTTCCACATTTCATGGGCCTTCTTCTTCAGCCCTGAGCTAGGTAGTTTTGGGGTGTTTCTTCCAATTGTACAGTTGGTGGTTACCAAAGAGTACACTCATTTCTAGATGTAGGAAAGAAATCACCTTCTCTTGCCTTTAACATTGCCAAGCGAGTCTCAGTTTTGTATTTGTCTAGGCTCTTGTGATGGCCAAAACAGGTAGAATTAATTAGTCTCTTCTCTGCTGGCTGTAGGGAGGGAGTCTAGGTAATAGCTTACACTGCATCTCTAACATGGACACAGCAGAGATGAGGGGGAATGAAGCCCACACTTGAAATGGATAGTTAAGCTTACTTTCCAGTGAAAAAATATTTCTCAATAGGAAAGTATCTTTCAGAGTAAAATGAAACTGATGTTGTTGGAGATGTTTTTTTCCTTTATTTGATAAGGAGACGCTCATTTTGAACTTGAACATATTGGTAATGAGGTGGAAACTGGTATTTATGTGCTTGCCCAATACAATGAGCAAATTAAATGGAATTTGCATCTCTCCCTGCTTGTTCATGATGTTACTCTCCTGGATTTATTTATTGAAACGGTGTCAGTTGTAAATAAGTATTTTGCATGGTGGTTACTCAGAATCTGCATTACAGTTTACTTCAAAATTCAGCTATTTCTTAATCTTTGTAATTCAAATTTCCAGACCTCACTGAAGAGATTTTCAGATGTCACTGCAAAATAAATAAGGTTGGTTTCGTTGTTGGAAGTGCCACAGTGCAGTTCAGAGCTATTGCTCTTATGCTGAACTGTAATGGTTCATCTCTGCTGCAAACACAAATTACGTCGTAAGTACATCAGCATGACAATAAAAAATACTGTCATTAAAATCATGTTAACGAGTTGACGTGCAGCCCTGTGCTTAACTAATAAGATTTTCAGAATGATGTGCTGCAAAGTCCCATGGGTTATGGGTGCAATAGCCCCTGCTATTGTTTTTCCTTTTTTCCAAAATTTGGAATTATTTTGAAATTGCAGTTACATTTACATCAAGTTGCTGACCAATATAAAGCACAAACTTCCTTTAAACTGTAAACTCGAAAATCCATGGAAAGAATAACTGAAATTCTTCTTGAAGTCTAATATTCTCTGTATGTTTCTTTAAAATGGAAAATGAGCATCTCTTCAACGATAAGTGTTCTTTAAATCAACTACTATAGAATTACTGTTAAAAAAAAAATTATTGGAATCTTGTATTAGGAAACTTCTATGAAGCATTTAAGGAATGAGAATGTTTTATTCATATATACAGAGTGCAGCATTTGATAACAGGAACAAAAGAAAAAAGAAAAAAGACCTTTTGTTTCCAGATTGAGCACGTGCATGTAGACAATTCTTGCTGTGGTGCAGGAGTTTATTCATGACTTAAATGTCATGGGAAAAAAAGAAAAAAAAAGTAAGAAACAATCATTCTTTCAGCACAAGGTCTGCCTGTTTGAAGTACTCCTGGGTGCACATCACTAAGCATGTTACTGAAAGAGAATTAACAACACTATAGGCGTAGAAAAGAAGCAACAATGTTGATAAATTTGTTTCTGCTTTCACTGACTTAAAGTAAATGACTGTTCTGGCAAACACATTTTTAGCTGCATCTTCTCTTTAATGTTGTTTTCAATGAGCAAAGGTATCAAGCAATACTGAAGTTGGCAAAGATTTTGCATATGTCTCCTTCTCATAACATGGCAGGTCATTTTTTAAAATTGATTTAGGAAAGACCATTTGGAGTCATTCTTTCTCTAGGATGCAGAGAAGCACTATTCCTGGTCCAATATACAGTCACCAGAGATTTCTCCTATTGCCTCCACTAGCTTAGCCAATACAACTTCTCATGGTCTGGATTTCAGAAGTTAAAGTTGTGCCAAACAGGCAAGACAAATAATACCTCTCTAAAGAAGCAAAATTCTCTGTAACTGTCCATACAGTTTCTAAGAGATGTTTTGCCCACCTAGGTGCAACACTTCCTACTTTTAAACTCTTTGTATTTGAATTGCAAATATAGATGCTTTTGGCATGATAAAAGAAATAGGAAAGATATTTGTAGCGTTTTCAATTTTAGTTCACATACTCACAGTCACTTACAATTTAACCTTGTAAAGATTTGTCTGAAAGACATTGGCTATGCTATTGTCCTTATTTGACACTTGCTACCGAAAATTAAAAGTGCAACATTTATATGGGTCCATAAAACAATGGGAATGTTGATTGAAAATGATATCTAGGGGTTATTGCATCTTACTTCTCCAAGCAGGGCTGGCATCAAAGTTGGACCAGATTACACAGACCCTTATTTGTGTAAGAATTAAAAATCCCCAAGAGATTTAAATTACAAAACTTTTCTACTGCTAGTCTACTATCTCAGTGAGAAACTGTCATAGATTGAGGGTCTTTGTCACACAAGAAGGGACTTAGGTCCTCCTTTTCCCATTACTCCCACTGCAGGAGGCCAAAAGAGAAGTGAGAAGGAGGGACTGCAACTCAATTTAGATTAAAAAAAAAAAAACTATTTTACTAAAAATGGTAAAGGAATGTAAAATAATACAATTTAAAAGGAATTAAGGGTAATAAATCAATCAAATGGAAAGAAAATGTCATTTAACTGTGCTATTTGGCAGTACAGAGAGGAAAATGAATATCTTTACGTCATTATGTCACCTTTTCTTTTCCTCCCAGAAACCGTGTCAGAATTAACGTAGCATTTTTGGAATTAGAGATCTTTAACAGCTGTTCCCATTCCATTACTTCATTGCATATTGTCATGGTATGGAATAGTTATGGAAAACCAGAACAAGAACTTACTTTTCTGGTGTGCTACCACAGCTTTCCAAGATGCAGTAATTGATCATTGCACTCACAGAATCACGGAATGGCCAGAGTTGGAATCATGAAACCCCCTTGCCACATGCAGGGCCCTGTTTTAGTTCATCTGACATTACCAAAAAGAGATTGGTTATGTAGCCTTTGTAGCTAATTCCAAAATAGTTGTAGGACCTGTATGGCTTACATAAATCTGGAATCATGAAGTATACTATATTGTTTTACACGAGCCTACAGAGAATTTTGGAATAAAGAAGATAACTGATAAATGCAAAAAGTATACAATTACTTCTGAAGAGAACTTGTTTAGATTTTCTGTTTGAAAGGACATCTGTGGTACCAGGTACAAAGATTCCTTCACTCAAATGCAATTAAAACTAATTGGGATTGAATAACTTCAACTAAAAATAGAGAAGAGTTATCACTTAAATTTGACTTTCATTAGAGGTTGATAAGGAATTTATTTTATTCATAGTAATCATGTATTATGTAAGTTACCATATGCTAAAATACCTCCTGTGTGTGTGTTGTAAGCCGATGGAGAGGGGATTTAGGTGGAAAATCAAAGCTAAAGTTAAAAGTGACTTTTATGAACAGTATTTAAATAAATTAATTTGGAGAAATAAAAGCAACTCAAAAGTTCAGACTTCTGGACTCTAAAGATTTTATTTTTAGTGTTCTCGGGTGAATCTGCCTGGTAAAACTAATGGCAGCTGATAATAGTTGTAGTAAAAAGGATAACAATATCAAGGTGTTGAGTATAGCTGTCTATATAAGTTGATGATGAATGTGAATCAACAGTGTGCCCTGGCAGCCAAAAGGACTAACCATATCCTGCAGTGCATCAGGCTCAGCGCTGCTACCAGACAAGGGAAAGAGTTGTCCTCCCTGCATGTGCTGTGACCTCACCTCCAGCACTGGGTACAGGTTTCAGGACCACAAGAAGAGCATAAAACTATTAGAGGACATCAAACGTAGGACTGTAAAGATGGTGAAGGGTCTGAAGGGCAAGGTGGGTGAGGAACAACTGAGGTTCAACCCAGAGAAGAGCAGGCTGAGGGGAGGCCACATGGCAGCTACAGCTTCTCACAAGGAGTGGAGGAGCAGTGCTGAGCTCTGCCTGTGACAGCAACAGAGCCCGAGGGAATGGCATGGAGCTGTGTCAGGGCAGGGTCAGGGAGTTGGGAAAAGTTCTGCACCAGAGGGTGGTGAGCATGGAACAGGCTGCCAGGACTGTGAGCACAGCATTGAGCAGCTATTCTTCATGGTCAGCTCTGTTTGGTCAGTGTTCTTAAACATAGGGTTTGACTTTGACTGGTCCTGTGTGGGGACAGGAGATGGACTCAAATGATCTTGGTAAATCCACTCCAAATAAGGATGTCCTGTGTCCTAGGACTTGATGCATTTCACAGTCTGAATGTATGGAGAGAAGTTTTACAGTCCTACTGGCCTGTGATCCAACTCCAGGCCTAGGGCATTCATTGCTAACATCAGCTTCGGGGTGGGATGATTTGAGGATCCCATCCCTTGTCAACTCTAGTTTAAAGCTCTCTTGATTAAATTGGAAAGCTTGTTTCTTAAAGCCAAATATGGTTTTCCCCTTATCTGAGAGATGAACCTCATCATTCCTTAGAAGACCAGATTTCTCAAAAAATCTCCTTTTGACCTCTTCAGGGAACTGCTTGGCAGAGTGACGTGGGATAAAGCCTTGGAGGGAAGAGGGGCCCAAGAAAGCTGATCCTATTGAAGGACCATCTCCTCCAAACTTCTTGAAAAGCAGTGCATCTCAAGAAGAAGGAAGTCAGGCAAGAATGCCAGGAGGCCTCCAGGGGTCAACAAGGATCCCCAAAGCACAAAAACTTAAGCACAAAAACAAAGCCCATAGGGAGTGGAAGCAGGAACAGATTACATGGAAGCACTACAAAGGAGTCAATGGAGCAGTCAAGGATAAGGTTAAGAAAGCTAAAACCCAGACAAAATCTATTCAGGGACACAAGGGGGAACAAGAAGAAATTCTACAGGTATACCAGTGATAAAAGGAAGGTCCAAGAGGATGCAGAACCTCCCCAGTAGAAACCTGGAGATCTGTTCACAAGGGACACGGAGAAAGATTGAGGAGCTCAATGACTGCTTTGCCTCAGCCTTCACGAGCAAGGGCTCTATCCACACCGCCCAAGCTGCAAAGCAAAAGGAAAGCAAAGGGAAGAACAGGGAGAAGGAAGATCTACCTGCTGTAAGTGAAGATCAGTTTTGACACCATCTAAAGAACATGAAGGTGCACAAGTCTGTGGGACCAGACAAGATCCGCCCACGAGTTCTGAGAGAACAAATGGATGAAGTTGCCAAGCCAGTATCCATCATATTTGAAAAGTCATGGAAGTCTGGTGAAGTTCCCACTGTTTGGAAAAGGGGAAACATAGCATCCATTTTCAGGAAGGGAAAAAAAGAAGATCTGGAGAACTACAGGCCAGTCAGTCTCACCTCTGTGCCTAACAAGACTGTGGAGAAGATCCTCCTGAGGACCTACTAAGGCATGTGGAAAATAAAGGTAAGGTGACTGGTGGTAACCAACATGCCTTCACAAAGGACAAGTCATGCTTGACAAAACTAGGGCCTTTCGTGATAGTGTTATGGCATCAGTGGATAAACAACTGACATTATCTACCTGAGCTTTTGAAAAGCGTTTGACACACTTGTTTGACACGCATTAGACAAGCATGGTCCTGCATGACATCCTGGTCAATAAATTGGAAAAAAAAAGTGGATTTGATTGATGGACCAGTCACTGGATAAGGAAATGACTGGATGGTCACACTCAGAGTGTTGCAGTGCAAGTAGAGACCACTGATGAGTGGCATTACCTAAGGATTAGTGCTGGGACTGGTGTTATTTAACATTTTTGTAGGTGGCATGGACAACAGAATCAAGTGTACTCTCAACAAGTTTGCAGATGACACCAAGCTGAGTGGTGCAGCTGACATGCTAGAGGAAAGGGATGCTACCCAGAGGGACATGGACAGGCTTAAGATGTGAGCCTATGGCCAACCCCATTAAGTTCAACAAGGCCAAGTGCAAGGTCCTGCACCTGGGGTGGGACAATCCCAAGCACAAATACAGGCTGGGCAAAAAATAGCTTGAAAGCAGCACTGAGGAAAAAGATTTGGGGGTGCTGGTTGATGAAGGGCTCAACATGAGCTGTGCGCTTGCAGTCCAGAAGGCCAATCCTGGATTGCATCAAAAGAAGCGTGACCAGCAGGTTGAGGGAGGGGATTCTGCCCTTCTACTCTGCTCTCATGAGACCCCATCTGGAGTACTGTGTCCAGTTCTGGGACCCCCAACAGAAGGACATCAAGCTGTTGGAGTAGGTCCAGAGGAGGCCCATGAAGATGATCAGAGGGCTGGAGCACATCTCCTGGGAAGACAGGCTGAGAGAATTAAGCTCTTCAACCTGGAGAAGAGAAGGTTCTGGGGGGACCTTATAGCAGCATTCAGTACCTGAAGGGGTCTATAGGAAAGCTGGGGAGGGACTTTTTGTAAGGGCAAGTAGTGACAAGACAAGGGAAAATGGCTTTAAACAGGAAGAGAGTAGATTTAGACTAGATATTAGGAAGAAATTCTTTACTGTGGTGGTGGTGAGACACTGGAACGGGTTGCCCAGTGAGGATGCAAATGCCCCCTCCCTGAAAGAATTCAAGGTCAGACTGGATAGAGCTTTAAGCTACCTGGACCAGTGGGAGGTACCTGCCTGTACCAAGGGGGTTGGGACTGGATGGTCTTCAAGATCTCTTCCAACCCAAACCATTCTATGCTTCTATGCTTCTATGCTTCTATGCTTCTATGCTTCTATGATTCTATGATTCTATGATTCACCCACCTATAGAAAAAGTACAAAGTAAACACTGTACATGAAGAGCAAAAATATTCAACATTTGGAAAGAAAACGGATCCCCTCAGTTAGGCCAATATATATATATGTATAATCAGCATAGAAATGCCTTCAAGAAAACAAAGTCATTGCTCAAGGGAGACTAAAAGATAATAACAGAACAAGAGAATTGGATATATTATTTTACTCAGCGAGCAACTAGGAACAAAAAGTGTTTTGCTCAGTCTCCCTGCACACTGGGATAGAGAAGACAATCAGAAAAAAAGAAAAGAAAAAAAAAAGAACTCGTAGGTTGAGATAAAAACTACTTACTGAGATGGAAAAGGAAGCAAGAAATAACAGTAACGATAATAATAGAAACATGTATATCTATAAAATGAGTGATACACAAAGGAATTTCTCATTAATCAGCCAGTCTCTGAGCTGCAGCCACCCCGTAGCCAAAATTCCTCAATTTTATAGTTTTTCCACATGTTATCATGTTATAGAACATTTCTTTGGCCAGCTTGTATCAGATGCTCTGGTTCTGCCCCCTCCCTGCTGCTCATGTCTCTCCAGCCCCTCCACTGGCAGGAAAGTTCAAGAAACTGAAAAACTGAAACACATTTGGCTCTGATCGGTACTGCTCAAAAACAACTAAAATATCAGTGTGTTATCAACATTGTTTTCTTCTAAAGCCATCATAGACACTGGGAAGGAAATCAACTCTCCCAGGTGAAACCAGGACTGGTACTAAGTCACTTGAATGTAAGCACAGCTCTAAGATATTAATTTGATTTTACTTAAATAGGTATCTCTGCCAGTTTCATTTGAACAGGGTGAAGATTTGCAATTTAAACTGACTGAAATTCTCTTTTTTTTTTTTTTAATTGGAATTTTAGCATATTGTCTTTAGTACATATTCCAATAAAATTGTAACTATTTCTATTTGTATTAAAGAGCTAAACTGTATTTGAAGACCCTCCATGGAATTATTTAAGATTTAATTTGGTACTCTGCTGCAAATCTTAAAAGTGAAATAAAGTTGCCATGTTTTTGTAGAAGCTCTATACTCACTTCACTTCTGCAGCTGCAATTATAGAAATAATAATCAGCTATGATTGCAGCTTCATTTCACAGAGTAGATTTGTCTTAAAATCAGAAGATGAAATCTGTACCTCATTTTCAAAACTGAGTCTCATAAGATCCAGAAAGGCTGTCATTCAGAGCTCACGGTGCTTAAAAGAAAACTTCAAAAGGATGCAGCAGTTGCCTAGAGCTTACATTTCAATTTACAAAAGTTACAGATGAAAATCAGAACAAGATTAGAGTGAAGATTTTTATATTCTGTTTTTTTTTTTGTTTGTTTGTTTTTTGTTTTTTTTTTTCTCCTCTGACTTTTTAAAGTGTACTGAGGAATTAAATGTGTTAGTGCAGTATGGGATGAAAAAGTAATCTGAAAAAGTAACGGTTAAAAATGAGGCCACATCTCTAAGATCTGCCAACATGTATGAAAACTGTAGTACAGCCAACACTGCTAGCTTGTTGCTTTTTTCTACAACAAGCAGTTAAATTCAAAAACATACTAATCTGAAAGTGATTCCTCTATTAATTAGTGAGAATTAGAACCAATTTGGTAATGTAGTTAATGCAGATTTCAAGGTAAACAAGGATTACGTTTGGTACAATGTGACCTCAGACTTGTTTGAAATCTCTCATTTATGATTTATACTGTATGTAGGGGGAAGTAAGCTTTTTGAAAGAAAAATCCATCACTGGCCAGTGTGTTGAATACAAGAAATGTATTTACAGTTCAAAACTTTTCTATGTTAGTTGCAGATAGACCATTACCGTGTTATCTGCAAAGTTTCAGTCACTACGCAAACTATGCTAGTTTAGCAGCACGTTTGAAATGTTATTTAAAGCATAGAGTGGTTACTGCAGATTATGGTGCTCTAAGTATGTTGAATACTAAATGGAGACAGCCTACAGAACTGCTTCATTTTATTGCATATGGAAATTTTGGTTATTAAAAAAATAAGCCGGGATGCCGAAGGTCGTACTGTGACAACTGCCTTCATATCTTCCCTGAATAATATGTGGAAAACAAACAAACAGAAATACCCACCACTCAGCCCAATCTATTCTAAGAGTAAGATGCAGCCTTTCTGGTGAATGATTGCCACATTTTGTGTTCCTTGGATTTTTCTCTGCTTAGAAATTTGAGCAAAATTGGAGAATTTTATGCCCTTGTGAGTTCTGTGCTCAACTGAAGCTTCTTGACAGCTTCAAAACACAGGAGATCTTTGTACTGTTCACCAATAATGGATTCAATACTTCTAGAAACTTGGCACTTTGCACCTATGCTGCATGGTGTTATAAATATAAAGTAGAAATGAAATGAACTGCATTCTGTGGCAACTTACCCTCTCAGTCAGGGTAAATAAATACTTATGAAAGGTGGAAAATTAACTTGGGGCTGGAGAAGATCTTACAGGAGTGAGAAGTGCCTGGATCCATATAAGAAACACGACTTCAAGGGTTTCTTTTCTTTTTTTTTTTTTTTTTTTTCTTTACAATTTAATGTTTTAGAAGGTCAGAGCTGTGAGCAGAATTTTGAATTGATTTCAGTTGCTTCAGCTTCTGTCTTGGGAGAACGCTAATTTTGATGTTGTTGTTAAAAAAATGAAACTGAATGTGTGTAAAGGTGGGTAAGTTTGTCACTAATGCATCTATAAAGAGCAATTGCTCCCTGAGAATATCAGAATTGAAGAAAGCATTCAGAGTACAAATCTACTGTACAGTAAAACATATTTTAGCTACACATTCCATAGGTCAGCATAAGGAAATCTGTGCTCTATTTACAGGTGTGCCTCAAACTTGAGCTATCTACTGTTGCAGGAAGAAATTCCACTCAGTCCCTACCTGCCTGAGTGCTCTGTATGCTGCAGGATTATCAGCTCCAAGGCAGAGTGTAATTTTTATTGATAGAACTCATTATCTCCTTATGACTGAGTTTATGTGTGTAATTTGTGTTTCTCAGTCTCAGCATGTAAGGAGAAATCTGAGGATCTCTATCAAAAGATATTGTGTTTTGTTGGAGTAAATGTAACCCTGGCCTTTCCTCTAGTCTTCTGCCTGCACTGGTAATAGATACTGTTAAAATGAGCCTGAAGTGGCATCATGTTTTCTCACAACTCAGTTGTTCAGACATGCTGTCTGCATAGTTTCCAATTACTTTGGCTTATTTCATGTCTTCAGAAAGCTTACTTTGCTGGTGCAGAAAGGTCTATTGAACAGTTAATTGTAGGTATTTCTCATGAACAAGTGAATCTGCTTGGACAGCAAGGCTGCAAATCCGAATGTGTTGGATTGGCATACACCAAAACTGTGGCCTACATGCCGTTATGTGCATGTGCTCTGCACACTGCTTTGTGAATGATGATTTCTGTGCTGTTGATACTGA